GTGATGTTCCTGCGCGGGGTTTGTCAAGAAAACAAGAACCCCCTTGTGGATGTGCGGGAACAATAATCCCCACTTTTGATTGGGGAAAAAACCAATCAAACCTAATGCTTTTTCACAAAAATGCTTTGGGGTGTCCTGTCAGACCGTCGGGCTTCCTCCGGCCACCTCTGGCTTCCTGCGGTGTACCGGGCCATTCTCGACCCGTCTGGCAATGCGTGCGCGGCATTCAACACGCGCTCGCCAGTTCCCGTCGGCAACCGCCATCGCGGCCGCATCAGCTGTACCAAACCGGCTGGCCAGTGTGACTTCGGCCCCCAGTTGTGCCAGCTTTGCTTCTTATGTTGTGGGAGGGCGGGTGGGACTGGGCATGCCATGCTTGACTCGCTCGAGCTGGCTAGCTTGACTCCTACTCCTATCCTTATTCCTTATTAGAATATACTCCTACTCCCCCCTCAGGCCGGCAGATAGGGGCCGCATCCGGGTGGTCCCATCCTAACCTGTAAAAAACAATACAAAATCAACATTTTTCTTATTTGTTCCTCTCGACATGGACGTCCTGTCGTCCACGGCGATAATCCATTGCAAAAAATACCACAAAGAGCACACGCGCGCGTTCATGTCAGAATCCTACCGAACACCGTATGTTTGCAAGCATTTCAACATAAAAACATCAACAACCAAATGCTTTTTCACAAAAAATTGTACAAATTTCCCGCCCGGGCTCTCTTGCTGAAATCATAGGAAAACCATAGGAATCTAAAGAATTCTGTCAAATCCAGCGATTTCACGTCATCGCGCGGTGCACTCGCGATGCTCTGTCATACACCCAGGCCGCGAATCCTATGCAAAAAATACTACAAAGAACACACTCGCGCGTTCATGTCAGAATCCTACCGAATACCGTGTGTTCGCAAGCATTTCAACATAAAAACATCAAACACCCAATGCTTTTTCACAAAAATGCTTTGGGGTGTCCTGTCAGACCGTCGGGTTTCCTCCGGCCACCTCTGGCTTTCTGCGGTGTACCGGGCCATTCTCGACTCGTCTGGCAATGCGTGCGCGGCATTCAACACGCGCTCGCCAGTTCCCGTCGGCAACCGCCATCGCGGCCGCATCAGCTGTACCAAACCGGCTGGCCGGTGTGACTTCGGCCCCCAGTTGTGCCAGCTTTGCTTCTTATGTTGTGGGAGGGCGGGTGTGACTGGGCATGCCATGCTTGACTCGCTCGAGCTGGCTAGCTTGACTCCTACTCCTAGTCCTACTCCTACTCCTACTCCTACTCCTACTCCTACTCCTACTCCTACTACTCCTACTACTCCTACTACTCCTACTACTACTACTACTACTACTACTACTACTACTACTACTACTACTGTTTGAGGAAGCGCTTCTGATCAACGCCTTCGGCGGATAATGCATCAATCGGTATTGCAGCCCTTTTTTAAAAAAGGTGCTCAGAATTCCTCTACCGTGCAGGGTCGCCCAGAGAGCAAGATTCGCTTGGAGAAAGAAATCCCAATCATTATCCAGCGCGGTGAACGTAGCTGGGGAACTAATCGGTGGCCCGCGACGCGGGCGCTGACGACGACGATTGAAGGGGCCCCAGGACACACAAATAAATACACACAAATAACAGGATTCCCCAGATTGTCTCATATTTTCTTGGATTTTGTCTTCCCCTCCACTTCCCATATTTTCCCATAATTTCCTGGGAATAAACGATTGATTGTGTCTGTGTGTTTTTCCCCCTCCTGAACGATGTAGAAGTGTATCGTACACGGACCGGCATGACTTGCAATCGTACTGCATCTGCGGCGAGATGGAGGAGATCATTTTTACCAACGCGTCCGGCGACGAATCTGCCGATTTAGATTGACATCCTCTCACAGACGCGTCGCTTCCTGGGGGTGGAAGAGCGGGGGGAGAACAGTGCACCTCTCGGGCCCTACAGGCCCCCGCTTGGGCACCGACGGGCCCCTCCCGGGGCCCCAAAGGGCTCCTTTTCTGCAGCCGTCGCTGCCCTTCCATGTATCGCCCCTCCCATTACGCGACGCCCAAGCGCGCCAGGTGCGGCGCCGGAGGCGCCGCCAGGGGAGCCAACGCCGATCCGAGAGATCCACTCGGAGCGCCCAACGTTTGTGTTGATGCAGCTTTCCTGCTTCCTCCTCCATCCCCCCTTTCAGGATACGCTGACCCGGATCAAGCCAAGCCCGGGTCACTCTGGGCCTTGCAGGATCCTGCAGGATCCTGCACGCCAGTCCAGGGCAATGCAACCCTGGCTCTGCAAGATCCTGCAAGATCTGGCGCCCTGGCTGACCCCCCGTTTGAATTGGCCGCCGTCTCGTACAGCTCGATGCTGAGGCCAGCTCGTACTGCTGTTAGGTCGGACATGTCCCCTACATGGGGATTTTGGAGAAAAATGAAGAAGTACTCAGGAAATACTCAAACGATGCCCAAAAATACTCAAAAAAATAGTCCCCATATTATTTGCTGACTATTTTTGAATATTCCACACGGGACAGGCACTACTGGGGGGGGGAGGGGCGCAGTCTGTGCGCGACCACGGCCAGAGATCGAGGAGGCTTTTGTTTGCATTGACCCCCGCCTCAAGACTCCCGGCCCCCCCACCTTAATAGCCCGGCCGCTGAAATAAGGATCGCTAAATAAGGAACGAAGCCCCTGCTGAGCCCAAACACCGCCCTCGCTCACGAGGAGGGCCAGAGGAACGGCCATGGAAGGACTTGAGGAACATCGAGCCCCTTCCGAACCCAAACTGTTCCTTATTTCAGCGTCTTGACTGTATGGCCCCCCCGAATGCCGTCCGCCCGCGGCGCGGGGTGAGCGAGGTGAAGGCGGCTCCAGGGGACCTGAGCTGCACAAGCCTGGAGAAACTCGGCCGAAAGAGAAGGGGGGGGCAGGGAACGGCCCAAACAGTGTTGTTCGTTATCGTTTTGTTGTGGTTCTACTCGGCTTGTGTTCACTTCACCTTTGCTGCAGAACGCAATCGAAACGACAACAGCCCACGACATCGCAAAACAAACACACACTTTAGGTCGACCCTGGGGTGGGGGTGGGGACGCTTCAAGCTCAGTCGCAAGACTCCTTCTGCCTGGGGCCGAGGCTGGCCGATTCCTCGAGCCGCGCCCGGCAGTGGCGACCGAGGGCCCCCCCCCGTTGTCTGGAGGCCTCCCAGATTTGGGTCCGAGTACAGTCGGGGCGTTGACCTAAGGAAACCTAAATAAGGAACGAGGCCCCTTTTTCCCAGAAGTTAAACTTCGATTTCCGATCGAAAACATAAGGAAAACCTGAGGCAAGCTGTGAAACACGTAAGGAATGCGGAGCCCCTCCCCAACGAAAAGGGTTCCTTCTTCAGGACCCCGACTGTAGAGTTAGGTCGGGCATGTCCTCCTACAGGCGAACCTTGTAAGAGAAACGAAACATAGCCAAACAATAGTGACAGACAGTCCAAAGAGCACGGCGAATCGTCCCCAGACTGTGTTGCTGGACTGTTCTGGGAGGTTCCCCCTGTGGGGGGACATGCCCGACTTATGAGTAGATGGGGTCGGCGGATCGCGCCGCATCGCCGAGGCGTCAAGGGTGCATCGGCGAGGTTTCGGCAATGCATCGGCGCTGCATCAGCGCTGCATCGGCGCTGCGTCGGCGTGGAGAGAATGTCCGGGCCCCGCCCCGGGCCGCACCTGGCGATGCAGCAGCGAGGCAGCGCGGTGCTCCGACCCCACCTGCTCGGACCCCCTCCGGGAGGCCTGGCACGTCGCCTCCCATTCGGCTGGCCATCGCTTGGACGTCCATTGCCCGTGCGCTTGTTCGCTTTCGCGCGTGTTTTTTGTGAAGGGGCCCCAGGACACACAAATGAATACACACAAATAAAAGGATTCCCCATATTTTCCCATAGTTTCTGGGTTTCTGTCTTCCCCCCAACTTCCAATATTTTCTGGGGAATCGACGACTCATTGTGTCTGTGTGTTTCTTTTCCTCTTGATTTTGTCCCTCGAAGACCAAGGGTGCTCCTCGAAGCCCCCCGCCGAGAAACAAGCACGCCCCACGCCCGAGCGGTGCCGAGCCCGCTGGCCAGGAGCAGGTGCTTGGGCCACCTCGGCCCCGCCCGGCCTGCACCAGGCGAGCGAGCTGCAGGCGTGGCGCGAGGCGACGGAGGAAGAGGAGGAGGAGGAGGAGGAGGAGGAGGAGGAGGAGGAGGAGGAGGAGGAGGTAAGAGAGGAGGAGGAGGAGCGGAGGAGGAGGAGCAGAAGGAGGAGGGCGACGCGCGCGAAGGGGCGGAGGCGCGCGCGCGCGACGAGCACCGTTGGCAATCGGCGGCGCCGGGCAGTCCCGGCCGGGACGCGCATCCGCAGCGAGCAGGGTGCACTCCTCCGGCAGCTGCAGCTCCTGTTCCTGCTGCTCCTCCTCCTCCTCCTCCTCCTCCTCCTCCTCCTGCTCCTCTTGCTCTCCTCCTCTCCGGGGCAAGCGCCAAAGAGAATCCGAGCGCCCGTGGCGACTCCTCCTCCTCCTCCTCCTCCTCCTCCCTCCTCCTCCTCCTCCTCCTCCTCCTCCTCCTCCTCCTCCTCCTCCTCCTCCCTCCTCGCCTCCTTCCCCTATCCAGAGGAGCAAGAATCGGCACAACCAAGCATAGACTGCCAGAGGCCCACGCGGATTTCTCGGATCGGCGCTGGAGTGCTCTCCTTGGATCGGTGCTGGGGCGCCCTCGCTGGCGCGCCGAGCGCGCCGGGGGCGGCGCCGTAGGCGCCGCCATCGCCGACCTAAGAAATCCGCGCGGACCTCCGAAAGTTCATGCCTATGCAACTTATTTTTCAACGACCCTTGGCAGCGAGCAAGAAGGGGCAGGGCAAGGGGGGCATCCTCCTGGAAAGATGTGGTAGACGATGGTTTTTGAGGCTCCCCCCGGCCCTCTGTGAAACCAGCTGCCCCTCCCAGACCCTGCCCCCCCTCTTTCCCGCGGTCTTTCCCTTCCTCATTCCACTCCGCGCGCTCCCAGCTCCCCCCCCAACTAGAAGAAGGACAAACGGCATAAACATAGAGTTCTGGCGCTCCGCGCGGATTTCTCGGATCTGCACTGGACACCCCTCCCTGGCGCGCGGAGCGCGCCAGGGGGCGGCGCCGAAGGCGGCGCCAGGGGAGCCCCAGCGCGGATCCAAAAAATCCGCGCGGGCTGCCGACAATTTCTGCTTATGCCGTTGTTTCTTCCTCGACCAACGGCTGCGGCACCACCCAGGACTCACCGCTCCGTGGGCTTCGTGGGGCGAGTGCACCTGTCTTCGATCCACTGGTAGGGCGGCTCGTGACAGGCCGATGTTCCACCACCACTGCCAGATGCAGGAGAGGGAGGAGGGGGAGGAGGAGGAGGAGGAAGAGGAGGAGGAGGAGGAGAAGGAGGAGGAAGAGGAGGAGGAAGACATCCCTATCCTCCCTTCTCCCACGGCCTGCCTATGGTGGAGAATCGGCCCATCAGCTCGCACTTCGGCTGCCTCGCCACCCTGGCGTCGCCCGCGCCCACCTCATCGTACATCGCTATCAAAAGCAGGATCGCCAGCGTCGTCAGCACGCCCGTCCACAGAGACACCGTCGCCACCTCGGAAGCCCGGCGCCCCTGACCGGGCTCGCGGTCCGGACCCGGCCCCTGTCCTACCAGCCCGGTGCGTCCTCCTCCTCCTCCTCCTCCTCCTCCTCGTCCTCGTCCTCGTCCTCCTCCTCCTCCTCCTCCTCCTCCTCCTCCTGCTGCTCCTCCTCCTCCTTTTCCTCGTCCTCGTCGTCCTCGTCCTCCTCGTCCTCGTCCTCGTCCTCCTCCTCCTTCTCCTCCTCCTCCTCCTCCTCTTCCTCCTCCTTTTCCTCCTCCTCCTCTTCCTCCTCCTCCTGCTCATTCTCCTTATGACAGGAAGGGTCGCGAGGGGCAGCCGCTGGCGAGGTATATGCGGAGGACGACGCCAAAAAATAACGAGGGTGAAGATTAGTGCGAATACGAGTGCGAAGGTACCAATAATAAGCATGCAACTGACGAGCAGAAAGTCTGTATGATCATGGGGGGCGCGAGCACGTACATATATACATACATATGTATATATATACATATATATACACACATGAGAACCATCGCGCGCGCTTCGCGCGCGCTCAAGGTCTAGATAGGCTCGATGGTCGAACTCTTGGGGATCTCTATTCCATGACACTTCTTCTCCAGAGCTTCCAAGAATCACGAAAATGGCCCAAGTGGTTTCCCGGACTTCCTACGGTCCACCAACGATGGCTTCAGACAAGCCAAACGGCCCTTGAGGGGCCCCTTTTTATGTATGCGCCGCGAGTGGACGTAGCTGGAGGAAGAGGGACGAGAAAGGGAGGTGAAGGGGCTGCCTTGTAGAGAAGGCGAGGGGGGATGAGGAGGAGGAATTGGAAAGGAGGAGGAGGAACCAGAGGAGGAAAAGGAGAAGGAGGAGGACGAGGAAATATGAGGCTGAATTGCTTCGCAAGCGCAGCGAAGCTGCCCAGCGAACTTTAAAACCATATTGGGACTCCCGTTTCTATCAAGTGCCCACGGGGCCTCTCCCGGTGTTCTTTTGGGCCTCTTTGGGGTTTCTTTCGGACCTCTTGAAGCCTCCTGAGGGTCTCCTGGGGCGAAGATCTCGGGTTCTCCGTTCACGTTCCCGATCCTGGGCCGCGGTTGGGGCCCTCCCGGGCCGTCTTGGACGTCTGTTCTGTGCTTTTGAAGCCTATGGGGCCGTCTTTGGGCGCTTTTGAAGCCTATTGGAATGTCTCGGGGCGATCATCGGAGTCTCTCGGGGCGCTTTGCAGCGCCAGGAAGCGGAACAAGCGGAAACTCCAACATTGTTCAAAAACCAAAAGGGAATTAATTGCTGTTGGCCTCTTCGAGCTTTGTGGCGATGCATCTTAGAAGCCTCTTGGGTATCTTGGGGGCCTCTTGAGCCGTCTGGAGGCCGTCTTGGACGCCTTCGGACCATCCCGCCACCGTGCCTGCGTTGTGGGTTAGAGGCCTCTTGGAAGTTCAATTGGAATTCGTGGGAGGCCTCCCGGAGGCCTCTTGGAGGCAACGTTTGAAGCGTCTTGGGGGCCGTTTCGGGTGCTCTTGAGGCCCGCTTGTGGGACTCTTTGAAGCCTCGTGGGGCCTGTATGGGGCCTCTAGGGGGCCTCTTGGGCTCTCTGGGGGGCTTCTTGGGGCCTCCTGGAGGCCTCCTGGGGCGGAAAGCTCGAATTGTCGGTTCGTGTTCCACTTGCGGCCGTCTAGGGGCCCTCTTGGGCGATCTGAGGCGCCTCTTGGGTCGTCTTGGGGCACTCTTGGGCCGCCTTGGGACTCTTGCGTCGTCCTGGCGCCCTTTTCTGTTCTTCTTGGGCCGTCTGGAACTGATGCATGGGGCCTCGCGGGCTGTCTTGGACCGTCGGAAGCACGAAAAAGCGAGAACACGAAAAACCTTCAAACACTTGAAAAAATAACATGCTTGCTTCGCCTCCTGAGGGCCTCGTGGGATTCCTTCTGGAAGCATCTTGGCCGCGTTGACGCCCTCTTGGGCAGTCTTCAAGCCATGTTGGACCAAGTTTGAAACGCTTATGTGCGGTCTTGGGGTCTCTTGGAGCGCTCTTGGGCCATCTTGGCGCCCACTTGGGCGTGTTTCGGGCCATCGCGTCGCCGTGTTCCCCTCCTGCGACGCGTTCTGGCACCCCCGACGGGTCCAAAACGGCTGGAGGCGAAATCAATGCACCCCAGGCCCCTCAGGACCCCCTCCCTATATATATATAGAGAGAGAGAGAAAGAGAGAGAGAGAGAGAGAGAGAGAACAAAAAAAAAAAAGAGAGAGAGAGAGAGAGAGACATACGAGCGTGGACCTGTGGATTAAACCCACGGAGTTGAGCGGATCGAAGTTTTGAGGCGCGCGCTGGGTGGTGCAGCGATCAAGCGGCGGCCTGGCAGCGCCTCTGCCGCTCTGCCGCTCGTCGGCGCGCCAGCGCGCGCTTCTCCGTAGAGGTGGCCGCTGTCTGCTCTGCCTGGCGCTCGCGCCGCTGGCGGTTGACTGCAGCCCGCCCGCGCAGCGTCGGCTCGGCCGCAGCCGCCCTCTTCCGCCCCCTGTCGAACGAGTCGTCACGTCAAAAAAAATCTCGCCACGTCAAAAGAACGCCGCTGCCCCCCATCCCCCTCCGACGTATCCCCCTCGTCGTTGCCCCCTTGATCCTCCTCCTTCTCCCCATCATCCTCCTACTGCCTGCTGGTCCTCTTCCTGCTGCCCCCTCCTGCTGTTCCTCTTCCTGCTCCCTCCTCTGCGTCATTATCCGCCTCGTTGCCTTTCCCATCCTCAATTCGTTCCCATCTTCATCGCTATATGTTCTTGCTCTCGCTGCATTGTCTTCGCACTGCGTCGAAACAGCATGCGCCTGTTCCAGAGGAGATTCCATGGGACCTGGGGCAGCCCATAACGAATTCATTCGCAATGATTGATGCACCCATTGCAGGGGCTCGCCTTTTCCAGGGTGTCTTGAGAGCTCTTGAGGACATATGCTGGATTGCCTGGGCCCCCTGTGGTCAATGTTGGGGTTCCTGCAAAGGTGCCCTGACATAGCCCCCCCTGCCCCTCGCGGCCTGCAAGCCCTCTGGAAAGTCTTATGGCACGACGTTTTCAGGATAAACATATTGGGCCTTCCTTCAGTCTACTTGGCAACCGTGACCCCACTCCTTCAATATTGCCATAGCAGTATCTAGCAGGTGCCCCTGAGAGGAGCCCCAAAGGGTCGCAACAAAGCCCCATCAACGACATCCCGCGCAAACACCGGCCGACCCTTGCAGGGGCGTCGTGGAGATCTCACGAGGCTCTCATGACTAATGGGGCACAATGCAACAAGCTGTGGGGCTCCAAAGGGGATGTCCTAAAACGAGTTTCTCAGCAGAGACCGCCTTGGCGATCTCACCAGACATTGCCACCACCACCTGCACCGTCAATTCGTAGCCTGTGTTGGCTCATGCTTGCTGCGCTTGGTTCAGGCGCTGCCGACACGGAATGCAACCATCACGTTTCGTGCAGCGATTGCCGGGGATATTATTGCAGTGCAAATCATGTCATATCATCCCCCAGTGCATTGCCGTTATCCGATGGAGCGAGCTTGGACGGCCCTTCTCATGTAACCTCCGACGAAGACAGTCAGGATTCAGTGGAAGGTGCACTCAACTTCTGTGGTCATGAGATGGGTGCCGACGATGCATGTTGGCGCCACAACGCTCAAGCACGCTGGAAGAGCGCCGCATGTCAAGCTGCGTTCGCAGCAGAGCCAATGTTTGACAAACCCGCACACGTCAGAAGTGAGTTTGACGTGTTCGACCTCCAGAAGCAAAATCTGTGCATGTGTGGGCTGGTCAAGCACATACCTGATGGATGTGCCGTGCTTCTCGGACAGAAACTGACAGGTCGGGAACGAGGTTGTGATCTGCTCGGTATTTCCCCATCCAGAAAAACGCTTCGACGGGATCAAACAGCATCTGCGTTCTGGAAGTCTTGGGGCGCCACCTGATGGGCGGAAAAGACCCACCCGGGTGCGCGGCAACACCGAGCATGTGAAAGCCCATGCGTTCTTCGAATGGTTGTGCACTCACGTTGCCGAAAGCCTCGCTGAAGGGAGAGCCATTGACGGAGAGGGCGACGGAAATGGAGCCGATGTGATTCGCGAGTCAATGCGCCGACACGCTGACTTGCATATTGACATTCAAGCGATGCATTGACATGGCAGGATCTGCGTGAAAGGTTTTGCGAATGGTGGGATGACCTTGGGAAGGAAGAGAAGCCGCGCAGCTGCTCCACGTTTCGCCGCGCTTTTCAACCGTGGGAATCGACGTCATTATTCAGAACGAGAAGGCAACATCAAATGTGCGTGACTTGCGCAAAATACAGAGTTGCACCCGCTGAGGCCCCTTCTGACGAGGAGAAGCTCGCTGTGCGGAAGGGGCTGACAAGGCATCTTCGCATCGTGCGCGAGGACCGGGCTATCTGCGAGCGCAGAAGCCTCCGGTCTGAGGCATCGACGAGGCCTGGGACTGACGTGCCAGATGACGGTGCCCTTGTTGTTTGCATCGATGCGATGGGCCTATCAAAGTTCACGATACCACGTCATGTCGATTGGCAACAGGCAGATGGGGATACACCATTCAAACCTCAGCTTCATTTCACGGGTGCGACATGCCATGGCCTAGCTGAATATTACTTTGTTGCCGAATCTGATGTCAGAAAAGGCCCGGACAGCACAATCGAAATTATCAGCCATGTCATCGAGCATGCCAAAGCAGAATTGACTTCAAGGGGCGCGATGATGCCGCGACATCTGCGGCTCCAGGTTGACAATGCGACACGAGAGAAAAGAATCAACACAGTTTTTACGTTCATATCTGACATCACTGCTCGGCATTGCTTCCGCGCTGCAACGCTGGCGGGCACGCAGGCAGGGCGCGCGCGCATCGACCAAGACCAGAGGTTCAGCATATGCGGAGATATCATTGCCAGAGAAAATGCGTTGGATAACCTGGAAGATGCGTTGGGCGTCGTGCGAAGGCAAGCGAAGCCCTCTTGGGGCAGAGCCTTGGTCGTC